TTTGAAAGGGAGTATATGTTTCTGTAGTTTGACCTTATAAAACATATCCCTTACTTCGCTTCATAGCACCTCTATGTTTATCATGGTTAGAATATGTCCTGCATCTTGCACCCACGTACATGTATAATACGCTACGGTCCGTTTATATGACGGCCCGTAGATATGTTCTACACGGCGTACACACAACACTATTCATATACTGTAACATTGTGACATTATACATGTATATTTATTTTCTGTACATCTATCTTATCTGAAAAATGCTTTGTGCACGCTACGAGAAGTATTACCTATAATTAGATATCGCACATGCCCTCTGTCCTAACCTTTGCCAACGTTGTATAGAATCTAAAAATATGCTCTATAATACCATGTGTGTGTGTTCGTTTACATCTAAACCGAGTACGTTATATGATGTATCCATACGCGATGACCTCGTTGTCATGGGCAACGGTAGTAAATGTATTGTACTCGAGGCAATGAGCCCACTTAGAATTTGAAAGGCGTGTGGTACAAGCAGAGACTCGATCTATACAGTACAAAGGTCTCTTTGCAAAGCCATGCGTAAACCGACCCACTTTGCCAGCGATAATTTGACGACAATCAATACAGCCCCGGCTACATACCGACCTGTCTTCTGGAGCTTTATGTCTACCTGACAAGACGCCAGAGGAATTTTCAAACGAGACTCAAATGACTAAAGCGTTCCACTTAGCTCACTACATCACGTAATCTTGTACACACACTCAAATTCCAGTCAATGGGAAATGCATGTGTGCATGCGTGTGTGCATGTCTGTGCGTGCGTGTGTATTATTTTTAAAGCCGCTCCCAGATACATGACGATGGCCTGGAAATAACCGAATCTCTGCGTGTGTGTGTGTGTGTGTGTGTGTGTGTGTGTGTGTGTGTGTGTGTGTGTGTTTTATTTTTAAAGCCACCATGACGATGGCCTGAAATAACCGAATCTCTGTCGTGTGGCCTGTTAATTTTAAAGCCACTCCCAGATACATGTCGATGGCCTGGAAATAACCGAATCTGTGTGTTTGTCTCTCTCTCTCTGTGTTAGTGTGTGTTAGTGTGTGTGTGTGTGTTATTTTTAAAGCCACTCCCATATACATGACGATGGCCAGGAAATAACCGAATCTCTGTGTGTGTGTGTGTGTTATTTTTAAAGCCGTTCCCAGATACATGGTGTGGGAAATAACCGAATCTGTTTCAGCTCAACAGATTGGTATTGTGAACAGCGTTCTTTACCGTCGTTGAAGGGACGGTGGGGTAACCTAGTGGTTAAAGCGTTCGCTCGTCACACCGAAGACCCGGATTCGATTCACTACAAGGGTACAATATGTGAAGCCCATTTCTGGTGTCCCCCGCCGTGATATTGCTGGAATATTGCTAAAAGCGGCGTAAAACCATACTCACTCACTATCGTCGTTGTCGTTATCAATAAAGTCACCCTGTCTTACCACCCAGTACATTCAGCTGCCCCTTACAATTAGCATAGGTTCTTGGGGATCCACCCTCATCCCAAGACACGCTTGGGTCAAGGGAAATGATTTTGACAGTTTGCTTACAGATTCTAAGATCGATTGCAACGGTCTCCCCAACTACAAAATTGATTGATCTTGGTTGCATACTTGTTAAATGGCGTCATTCAATCGAACGAGTAAACGATTCAATGTTTATGGCAACACACGTCATGGTGTTTACTCAGCTATTGTAAGGGTAACGTGCACTACATACCGAAGACTTAAAAACAGATGGATGGAACATAGACATGTTGAAACAGGAGCAGAACATGCAACAAGGTCACGTTTACCCACGAGATAGTGTATCACCTTATTAAATATTAGTTTTCCCCAGACATTTCTTAGTACATAAGTCAATAATGGTTGGCAATCATGCTGGCACCGTGTATATTCAGAGTTAGTCTGTAAGTAGCACTTTGGCCTAAATTTTATTGGATTGAATGGCAAGAATTTACGGCCGTAATGACGCTTTAAGAATTATGCAATAAATAAACCAAAGACTGGAATGTTGCTCGACACAAAGAGGAAAGCTGGCAATGAAGTATACGACTTATGGATAACGATTTCTTGCTGCTAGAATATTAATGTTGCTCCACACAAAGAGGAAAGCTGGCAATGAAGTATACGACTTATGCATAACGACTTCTTGCTGCTGGAATGTTGCTCGACACAAAGAGGAAAGCTGGCAATCATACGACGTTATGGGTCACAACTTTGTTGCACAGACCTACGTTTCGGTGTACATTGGTACAACGTAATCAACCTTAGAGTGACTAAAACCAAGTGATGAGAAGTACATATTATACATAGTATGTTGTGGCAAACATGAGATTAACATTAACAACAGTGAGTGAGTGAGGTAGGATTTTAAGTCACATCGGCTGTATTTCAGCCATATCGTGACTAAAACAAGATATATACACAAAGAACTTAATTAAGCACCCCTGTATTTTTGGAATGATAGGTTTTCAACACGTGGTGACCACAATGGAAAAACATGAGTTTTTCTGACCCGTATGATCCTTTGACTCATACAAAAACAAAATGATTGGAATCTATATTGATTTTATGATGATAATTGCTCATTAAAAAAAACATGCACTGATTTTCATACAAAACCATGTCTGTTCAAGTATGGCCCTGGAATGTTTAATGTTGAAATTCAAAATGTCATTTTGCTTGTCTTACACGATTCAAGATCAATACCGAGTGTCACCTCCATGTGACTGTATGACAGCCAGCACTCTCCTCCTCATACTCCCTGTCAGCCTCCTGATCCTCTGAAGGAGCAGTCTATGCCATTCCTCGTGTAAAGAAGCTTCCAATTGGGCCAGGTTCTGTACAGGAGGATCCCTTTGTTGGACACGACTACCAATCATGTCCCAGATATGCCCCAAAGGGTTAAGACCAGGGCTCCCTCAATCGTGAGATATGTCAGGGGGTGCTTACTGGAATACACCGTCTGTGGCTATATTGTATTGGAAAAACTCCGTAGCCCAGTATCGAACAAAAATAGTACAAAGCATTTAAATATTTACATGATACAAAATCGTTCGGTTATCTCAGTGGGTCAAACAGCTGTCTGTACACAGCATCTGTATTGGAATGCTTTGTGTGCCAACTACAGTCTCATATAACAGCCAGCTGAACTCTTACGAAGTTACTATAATAAATACATGTAACACGTTCGAGAGGTTCAAAGCCGTATCCAAATACTTGAATAACAATTCTGCTATGATGCACGTTAATGTTGGTGGGATAAACATTGTCCATAGAGATTGATATTTGATCAGACTGTGGCAACTAGTTCGGAAATTCCTTGCATTTTCGTAAACAGGTTGTTGATGTAATGCCGACGGTGATCAAACAAATGATGTGTACATTGATTACATCGTTCGTAGTTCTTTGATCATTGACGTTACGCATCTTCTTGTCTGCGGTCGTGGGCTCGCCGTCACTTGCCTTATTTCATGCAGTCGGTTTAAATGAAGACATATTGCTGCACTTGCTACTTAGTTTCCGGACTGATACTCTCGTGTCTTAATGCCATGTACTTTTTGATGAAACCGTTATGCTGGGGCGATCATTAGAAGACCAACTTCTTTTCTAAATGTTTTATCCCCAAATTCCAAATAAATCAAATCGACGGAGAAGTCAAATTATGTTTTGTCAGTGACCTTAAAAAGACATTTGCAGATTTGCCCTTTACTCTTTAAAGATGAAACAATTGATTTAAGTTCAACTCGTCACGTGACGGGTGGTTTGATTTTCGTTACATTTCACTTGTGCAGTAGTGTTGTAAAAAGCTGAAAAACAAATAATGCGGGATAATGGTAATTTTGTTTATTTTAGAGGCTTCAACATTTAAGCAGAACGTTTGCGGTTTTGGATAAATGGCACTGTGTTAATTGCACTTGCCTGTGCGAGAAAAAGAATTTTCTTCCTTGATTACAATAATAATCTTGAAGATGGTCAGTATTCTAGCACTGATCTTTGAGCAGATATATTGGGAGCTTTGGAATTCAGTATTGAAACGGAAATGAGCATGTCTTCGGGGGTTTGAGTTGAGTAACAAATTAAGAGTATTGATGACTGGTCTTTGCAAATATTTTCTTTGAGTGGCATTTAGAAGTTGGTGTAATGAACAACGGGGAGAGTTCTATTGATATACAACTTCTTTATTATTAATATGACAACGGCGTTAGTAGCTACACCGCAACGTCGTTGTTTGCAAATCTCGGCCTAGGCTACCAGAATTGCCCTACATCTTGCATTATCATGTATGTCACTGAGTCCTTTGATACAAATTTAATGTAGTGATGCTTACAGATAATGGATCTGTTGTCTTTTGCCTTGAAGTTAACTGGGGCAATAAGGTTATTCTGTTTCGTCTTGTGCTGTTTGCGCCATTTATGGACTTACTCCACCCTGAGAGACGTCCAGCAGGTTCATTATTCCTCAGTTGGTCCATATTTTGTATACAGATCGGCAAGGCAATATTCACAAGTATGCTCGAGTGGTTTTCCAAGTTGGGAGCAAACAGATCGTGAGAGTATGTACCTTATTTGAAAATCAAGGAAGAGTGTTAGTGTCACAGACAGAGCTGACCAGTACACGATGAGTCAGCAAGAAGCAGTACAACATCTGGAGCTGCCCATGTCCTGCATTATTATTTACTCTTCAGCAGTCAATCAATGTTGATATGATAATACTGATTGTTTTGAGAGTGCATCACCACTTGCACTTCCTGATGACCACAGTTGTTTGTACAGTAATCGCTCTTGAAATATGACTGGTGTTTGACGTGAAATTTGCATGTGTATGATTTTCATTTTCAAACCCAAAAAAAACCCGGCTAGAAACAAACACGAACAACTCTGTGATGAAATATGATTGGCAACATTAATGCGGTACAGTGATTTATCGACCTTCTTGAAAACTGTCAAAATCACGAATGACACCCCACACCTACTGCGTTGTGCACGTGCATCCCGTGCGTTGTGTTTAGGGGTGGTGATAAGGAGAAATGCTGGTGCGTTCATAAGAAGTTTGTTAACCCTTATACTTCCTATCGAAACTGAAAGCTCAGGTTCCCCTACTTTTTTTAAGAGTATAGTTGAATAAATATTGATGATGTTTGTCTGTCAATTATACTTAAGTTGAAACATCAATTTCCCTGTTTCCAGCTACACGAAATAGTGCATAGTCTTCTGTTGCATTTCATTTGGCCATCGGCGTTTATCCTGACTTCGTCTTCTTCGGAATGCATTGGAGGGGTTGAAATTGATTCTAAAGTGTAGCAATAAAACAAAATGATGGCCCTTATTTGTACTATTTCAACTGTGTTATGAGCATGTGTCTTTGAGCATTATAAGTTATTGAAATTTCTATCAGTTATTGTAATTTCCAGGTGTTTCGTTAAATGGTGATCATGTCATACCCTTCGTACGACACCGTCACGAACAAATGCAATATGCCATTCTTCCTCTATAGTATGTAAGTCCCATCTCTTTCAAGGTATTTTTCATACTATATGGCTTTAATCGCAGAATACTATCTGTGATTCTCTGGTAGTTTTACTGTCCTTCGACGACAGGCTTTAATCCTCAAAATGTATTCATCTTTAATTTATATATTGTTCTCGTCACGATATTGCTGAAATATTTCCGATGTGACGCTAAACAGTAACTCACTCACTCTTTCTCCATAACCAGCGCGGTATCAAGCCATGAGAAATAACCTATAATCTGATGCAGTTCAACATCACAGATAATAATAAAGTGTGATATCAAAACAACCATGATCGACTTATGCCTGTAAAATGGCACCAATTCATTACCACGTTCTGCAACAAGAGCAGAATGAATCATGAACTTACCCTTCGAGTTGACCAATATGCTATCGGTTCCAGCTTATGTACGAACACTTCTCAATTGGTCAGGTATGTTAGAACACATAGATTATATTTAGCTTGGCATTTTACTTAACACTAGGGATTTAAAAATTCAAATTGCAATTTTAAATGCCTGATTAAAACGAAATATGCAAAATATGAAAAGTCACCTTTAATCATTATGCCCAATGCTATGAACCTTGCTCGATATTTTCACATTCCCTTACAACACCAGCATTACTCTTTAATGCAAATCATGTTTCTGTGTATTGTTTATGCATCTATTTCGTTTCATTATTATTCTCTGGAGCTGTTGTTTTGAATATGTACGGGCTTATACACAAAGCATACCCTGTTCCCAATCTACTTTAACGCCTCAGTAACCGCCATTTGCCAGTGTGTAATGTAGCTTGACAAGTTATGTTATTTGTTTGCCTTGGTTACCTAACGTTTGTTGTTTTGACTCCTTGTCTACCCTTACAACCAATTCCCAGATAATCAATAAACAAATAACATCGAACTCAATACATTCCTAAGTTAAACCATGACTCTTCTTCAGTGTGCGTGTATACGATGTGTGACTGAGTGACGCCTTGTCGAGTTTCAGAGTGCACTGAGGGCGAAGTACTTGGACTCATCCTGGCAGGTTGCATTGGTTGGAAGCATTACTAGATAGCATGGTTCCATCACTTAAAAGGTTGTGTTCAATGCATATTACAGATGCACCCGACGAGCACACTAAAATAGAAGCGTCAAAACCCTTTCCACATTCATAAGAAATCTCTGCCAAAAGCAGAGTCGATTGTACAATTGTGACTATATCATGAGCAGATATTTGTTTCAGCAGTAGTACAGCTGTATGTTGTTGTTTGTAAACAAATCGGGTCTGAACCAGACAATTCAGTGATTGCAAGACGACGAAATGTATATTTTGGGGTGTGTTGACCTATTTGTTTTGTAATGTATATACATGTACACTAAACTCCAAACGAAACGTTACCCTCCTGCCTTAGTGACGGACGTACCTATCTTCAGCTGGCTTTGTGATGCGTGGACGTCCACTTCTTGGTCTGTCTACGGTGACCCCAGTCTGACTTAAGCCCTGAATAAGTCTTATAACCGTGATACGGCGGCATCCGAGGGTGTTGGCAACAGCATTGTACGTCGACCCCATCTGCACCATCCCAATGGCTCTTTCTCTCTCTTCAGCTGTTAATCGTGGCATATTCCTCGTAATTGTGTATCATATCATGTATTCTTACCCTATAGAATCATTCCATATGTGAAATGGATATGTGAAACTTTTAGATGTTCCTAAACACTTTTTCACAATACCAAAGACACGCTTTACTTGTTTTCACTAATGCAAATCAGCAGAACATGTTTTAAAAGACTGGAATCATGGGAATGATTATTTTATAATTTTACACACTCTACAACAGTTGTTTCTTGTTTTAATAATTGAAAAATGGCGACTTCAAATGGTTTATCTTTGTCTCAAAGCAGAATTTTATTTCAACCTTTCTTTTGAACATCTAAATCACTGTTGTTGGTATATTTCGGCATGGACGAAAATAGAACAATTTAACTCTTCTAAAAAAGGATGCATTTCGCAACTTCATATGAAAGCATTTGAGAAGTTTTTTTCGTGATTTGCATAAAGCTGTGTTGTTAAGCTTTCTTGTAACTAATACCTTCTAACATATCTTTGATAGTTTTTCAGTAATTCATAAAGGTAGGAGGGTAACGTTTTGTGGTGTGTAGTGTATGCGTGTGTGCTGGCATGCTTGTTTTGCAAATGATTATTGGAAATTTCCCATGAGCCTATCAGGACGCCTTTGACATGAATACTTTGAGTTCTTCAGTACCCATTTCATTATGATACCCTTATCCGACCTTCACCCAACACGAAAAGATTTATTCGAAACATGAAGGCATGACGACAGCTGTGGAGACAGCCAAAACAAGGCAATGCAAGTGCGGCAATGTAAAAGTTGAAACATATTTCATGGCTGGGTCTACTGGAAGCTGGCTCAACAACGTTTGGAAAGTTGAAGTCGACCCTCCTTGTTAAAACTCTTGTTTAGAGGGATCTGTCTGTTTCTTGTAGTACGTAGGTATGATATAAATGAAGCAGGCAAGGCGGCCTCTCTAGTCTATATTATTTCTGATTCAGGTGTGTAGCTATATGAGCATTATTGAACGATTTTCGATCATTGATACTCTTGCAAGATAATAAGGAAATGATTCATTCGATGTCTGGTGTGACACTTTGTTAAAGCAATGAATTCGTCCCAACGCCTGTAGTTCCAGGTACAATGCACAGATACTGTAATTTGAATCACACTGATCTTCATACTTTTACAGCACGGTTGTTGGTATTCTTAGGGCGCACTGAATAATTAGTTGTTATCCTATATTAACTGTTGATTACCAATGCTTTTGTATGATATAATCCCTTTGCATTCCATAGCTAGGATAAAGAAGATAAGAAAAGACTCTCCATCGTTGATTGGTGGAGCTGTGTAATGACTATAGAAAAAAACGCGTTGGTGACAAGGGGTTAAGGAGTTGAAATTCTGTAGAGTGACACATATTGGGGAGAGAAAACAGGCAATGTATTAAATAAATTGCATTTGCCTGAGAACATGTTTAAGCATTTACCCTTCAATTGCACAAGTTATAACAAAATGGAAACGATTATTTTAATGTAGGACAAGTCCATGTATACAGCAGTTAAGGCTTCTCAATATCCCCACTCATCTCGGACTTGGATTTGGTTCAGCCACCGACGGTTATGGCCAATCTACGTAGATGAATTAATTCTATAATGTTGCCTGACAATGTCTGCTTGAAGTAATTATCTGAATTTTGTGACTAAACCCTAAATAACGTCTGTATTTGAAATGTCACATGCCAAAATTAGTCGTAAATCTTCAATAGGCTATAAAACATATTTGCTGTCTTAACTCGGTAATAGAATAAACAAATGTGTTACTGGCGTAAACTAAATAATGGTTGTGTATTATTTCACATCAACAATTTATTGTAGCTCTTGCCCGTTGCTAACGAGACAAATATATCCAACAAAGCCCATGCAAGTCTAGAATATGTGGCAATTCTAGATTTCCACAGTTTTAGACTGAAAATTAGGAAAGTCTCTGGGCACCTTTTCATTATATTTTATGATTACGTTTTATGAACAGGCTGTTTCTGTAAAATATGTTCATTTCAGAGACTAGATGTTAGTCTAACCTCGACATCGATCACTTTGTTTAAAGGAGAAATCAATGCCTCGCCAATGTACACCAGAATAACACATTGTCCTTTTAATTTAAAAAGTAATATTGATTGTTCGGTGTCCCTACGCTGACTGTATAAAAACACGGTGAATGTAATCACGGAAGTGGATACTGCTGCAGCTAACTTCTAAGTGGGTAAAACAAGTCAACAGAATAGAGGAAGTCAGCCACGAACTTCCTCGTTAGACATTTGATAAAGCGTGGAGTGTCATATCTGGTTGTAGATGAAAGCAGCAAAGCTTATACATAATCAGAAGAAATTGTAATCCAGAGTACATTATATAATTCCGACTTTATCATAATATGTGGCTCCTCTGAATTTGCAAGGAAGCAAGAAATATATAATATAATGATTTATTACCGTATGTATTTATGAATCACTATCATAGATTCATTATATCGTATATGTATGTTCATGAAACGTCGAGTGTGTCCTTCTCACGGTTGCAAGTCATGCCAGTGTTCAACTGAACAAACACATAATCTTCGTATCACCTGACCGGCCATTTTGGTGAAGGGTTTTCCTTTTAGACATTATCATATTGCATAGCTGTGTGATCAAGCCGTTTTCCTTCAGCTGTCAGTTACAGTCAAATCATATTGCTATGAACTAGTAGGAGAGTGTTTCTATGAACTAGTAGGAGAGTGTTAGATAGTAATGTTGTTGCAATGTTGATTGTAATGTTAGGTTGTAATGTTGCTGATTAGGGAAGAGTGGCACGTACATACACGATGAGGTTCCCTGTGTGTTTTGTGTTTAGCGTGCAAATTGCTGATTTTGTATTTCACCCACCGTCTGAACTCAAAACGTCAAAACCAGAGAATTACCAATCTCGATTATCTTTCGAAACATATTCTTCTCGACTTATAGGGCAAATAAGTTGATGACAATTGCAGATGATGAAAACAACCCCTCACTATATGTTTAACAGAATAATCGGACGGACGATGCCTTTTTGCGTCCTTTGTCCACGCTGTGTATGCTCTCCGCGTTCCCTATATGGCCCAGTAGTCGTAAAAGGAGAAATGCGTTGGACAGAGTTGATTCTTTTTGGCACACAGCAACCTTTGATCGTGGGTTTGAATCACTATTCGCTATGGTTATGTTTCCAGGTTTGGTAGCACCATGCCGTCGTTCGTGGATTTCACCAAAGTCGTAAACATCTAACAACAGTATCACTTCAGACTTCCTTCCTACATCAAGCAGACACACCGTGATTTAAATGAAATTACTGATACACCTGATAAGCTAAGCATATCGCACAATATCATTGTCATGGTAGTTGTGAAAATATACATTTGAAAGTTCCCCCGTGGTACCTCTGAATGTGCAAGGAAGCAGGAAACAAACAGTACAATACGTGTGCCTCAGAGAGAGACGGCGACACACTGATTGGGTCACTTAAAGGAGAATACAAACGTTGTTAAAACAAGACACGGCCATATTGGAATGGTGTTCCTGAAGGTCATTCTGATAATTTCTTTTAACCGCATGAGATTAACAACAAAATAAACGTTAACATTTACAGCAGATTTAGACTCTCAGAGTGTCGAATTTCTGCACGATCTGTAATCTCAACCTCTGTATCCTTCAGATTTCCCTTTGATAAACACTTACGTATCGTTTTCTGGGTTTTCCAGTACCTGCTTCAGCAGAATGTAATACTTGTCAGATCAACGAATGTCTGATACTGCTTACCATCAACTGGTCAGTTGACGTTGGCCTTATACTGAAGTCTGTAGTTACAATGTTCAACTTACACAACTGATTCCGAATTAGTCTGCGGCGTTAAACAACAAAACCAATAACTTGTTTAAATGTGCCAAAGGCCAAGTCAAATCAACCTAATGACGTTCCAGTGTGACGCATTGATAAAGTCTAAAATGAACGTTGACATACGTATAGATTCTTTTGCATCTGCATAATGAAGACGTGACCAATAAAGTCACTTCTCTCAACTTTGCCTTCAACATTATATGTCAAGACGCTAGACTACAATATTTAGTTTATGGGTTTTCAAAGATATAGTCATTTCGATTTTTTGAAGAACATATCGAAATGAATTTATAGCAATTTGGTAGTGAGTGAGTGTGTGTGAGTATGGTTTTACGCCGCTTTTAGCATTATTCCAGGAAAATTCACGACTGGGAACGCTAGAAATGGGTTTCACACACTGTGCCCATGTGGGGAATCCAACCCTGATAATCGGCGTGCACTTTAGTAAATCGTGTTCGAACAAAATTAAAACAAAATTAATACAATGGGTTTTTTATAACTAATCATTCAGAATGATTAAAAAACGCGGTTTGAAATATAGCCTAAGCGATATCGAACGAAACATCTACGTTAGTGACCTTGTTAATTAAAACGAGACAAACCTTTCCATCATCTGCTACAGATATAGAGCAGGTTGTGGTAAAATGTGGCGTGTTCCTATTTAACCCTACTGCGGATGCTTTTTCTGGACTCTTGTCTCAAGCTGTAGGGTGAACTATTAATAGGCGTAAGCCACCATGATGTGCGTCAGAGGTTGTTGTTACCTTCCTGGATAACTATGTAGCACCAGTATGAAATGGCAGCTTGGCATTTCATCATGTCTTGGTATTTTTACTCCTGAGATGACATGGAAACATTTGAAGATTAAAGGAGGGGATCTGATTGAGGCAAAGCTCAAAGACATATTTGTGATGGAAACTCATCACGTAAAAATAAACATACTATTTTAAACGGACAATCCTTTCGGGACCTATATTACGGTAATTACTTTTCATACACAACAAATAACATTTCAGTTTTTTCTTTATTGTCTGCTCAAAATAACATTCGTGTAATCTTTTGTCCTCCTGCACCGTCATTTAATCAAATAACAACGAACATCATAAAGACAGTGTCGTAGCAAAGGTAGTTTGAAATGTGTACTTGTTTCTGTTAAAATATATCTCCATATCAATGGAAAATGTTCTCACTGGTATATTCAAAACAAATATGCCAGAGTGCTTCATAAAGAACTAAACTGTATGAATGGATCACTTAAAATCAGTGACACCGGGTGTTCGCCAAGAGGGTAAACATGCCCTGCTCTAACCATCACTTATACAATTATTTGTTAGAAACATATAAGGACATGCACTAATTCCGTATATAAGATAAAACATGGGATAGCATCCCGCTCTATGCTGACAAGCATAATATACAAGGTTATAACTGTAAAAACGTCTACTGGATATCTACCATAAAATGTTTACTGATATGGCTGAATCATTCAAGGTGAAGTATTGACTCAATAGCTAACAAAAATATCTTTCTGTGAAACATTGAAAGTACATGGACAAAGTACTGAGTAATACTGACTGACTGACTGAGTTTGGTTTTACGCCGCTTTTAGCAATATTCCAGCAACACCAGAAATGGGCTTCACACATTGTACAGTTGTGGGGATTCGGCGTGACGAGCCAACGCTTTAACCACTAGGCTACCCCACCGCCCCTACTGAGTAATAACACAAGCTATATTGGATAGCTCCAATGTGGACATTGACATATGGAATCATCCCTCATATAGCACAGCTTGGTACGCGAACTCACATCATTTTGTAATTCAGTGCATAAATCCACATATGACTCTCAATATTGTTTCTCGGTTGTCATTTGTTTTCCAAATCTGTTGGACAGATGAGATGACGATGCTCATGAATCTTTTAACGGTCTTATCTCGTGACGGATTCTCCGAATAGAATATTGAAATATTAAATTCTCTTCGTGCTACACTTTTGTAAACTTGCACACATAAGGACCACTTGACAGAACGGAAATGAGAGTTAACCGACCAAAGTGCGGAAATTCAAATCCGACCAGTGGGTAAAAGAGATAAGAACTTTGCGAAGTCCTTTGTTTGGGTGAATTTGGTTAGTCTGAAAAGTGAAACACAAAGCTTTCTGTTTGCTGCTATGAATCCAATCGTTACCGTCAATGTGTTATTTTGCATCAAAACGTAATATAAAATGTAACTTATGCAATGAATGTAACATTACTGTCCAACACGCTGTCAGTGGATGGTCAGCACTGGCACAATCAAAGCATTCTCCATTACTCGAAGAGTCACTTGGGCCGAGAGTTGACTAGTCCAACCAGCTCGACTGCTTCAGGTCTACCACACCACCTTGCTGAATGTTAACCTGTATAGTGATCATGCCAAAACCGGCGCAATTTCATACTCAGTCAGTAGATCATCTAGGGAAAACTGAAGGAATTTATTTTCCAGGTCGTCAATGCCACCACCAACGGATGTTAAGGTGATAAAACTTGTACCCATAACATATAGGTAAATTTATATTCAGTAATAATTCTAATATTTCAGCAACTGTTCATATAAAAAGGAGGAGAAGCATCATACATTACTTCACAGGGTACAGATAATTACGGTCTGTACTTTCTCGTAGCTTATTTCTTGAGTTTCGTAGACATCCATATAAATCTTCCTGCTCTCGGGGCTTTCATCTTAGGTAACAGTGAGGTGCATTTAATAGGTTAGTTAAAGCACCCCCGTTAGATACAGTTTATGTTACGAGAATATTTCAACAGTTATCGGTCTCGCGAAGGTATTGGGAGGTGTAATACGAAACTGTTCCCGGCGGCGAAGAGTGTAGTAAAGTATTCATTACTCAATTAAGCTTGCATTTGTTATACATTATACTCTCAAATACGACCATGAATGGTGTTGTATACATCAGTCGCAGCTTGTGTTCATGGACTGTTTTCTCAAAGTGCAACCATGCAATAAAGTGCATTATAAATAGTGCATTAGATGACTAGATGACGCGCAGATTTTGAAAAAGACAGCATAAAAAACATCGCAATTTAGAAATTTTAACCCTAAGGATCCTGCTTCATAAATCAAATTCTGCTTCAGCATAGGAGAAAGGAGCCTCTGAGACTTAACGAGTTAGTCTGCCATGTCATATCAGGTGATGCCAAGAATTGCAAGTCCCTCTTCTTTATTTCGAGGATTATTTGCTCTGCAATTCTGCAACTGACTTGATCTCGTTGTTCACCTCTTGCATGGGTTGCTGAAGATCGATTCTAATGTTCTTCCGTCACGCCGAAGACCCGGGTTCGATTCCCCACATAGGTACACTGTGTGAAGCCCATTTCTGGTGTCCCCGCCGGGATATTTCTAAAGCGTCGTAAACTAAACTCACTCACTCTAATGTTCTTCCCGGTTTTTAGCCATACTGTAACGAAACCAAGCTTTCACATTCGCAGGTTCAAATACAAGCCACATCTAAAGACAAATTGGCCCGCCACATTCAAATGGGGAATACTACTCACAGCTGCGTAATGTCGTATTGGCTGGCCACAGTCATGACAATCTGCTCAAAACAGATGAAGATGAACCTCATAGTGTATCTCTTGCAATGACGTGTTCACCGTCAAGCATATTCTGCCTACTTTTAAATACAAGCTTAAGGGATTCACATTTTGAAGCAATAATCTGAAAGATCTCTTTTCCCCGTGACCTGGCACGTCACTTCTCTCTACTTAAGAGAAATTGATCAGGATCACAAATTGCATCTATGGAATGTGTATAGCAAATTGCTTGTTTTTAAATTTGGTGCTACTTCTTCTCTTGGTAAATAATAATGTAATGAAGAAATATGCACTTTAAGAAACTCATTTAAACTTTGTAATTATTACAATGTGTATACTAGTATGTGAAAACTTGGTCTCGTCGCTCTATGGATGACAAAATGCCAATGCGGCGTAAAAAACTCACTCACGCACTCACGAACCTGGATGATGATAGTTACTGTAATTATAGTATGAATTACTATAGGCAATGTTCTTCCAGTACTTCGGACTTCTGAGACGTGCATTTAATTCTCGACGTTGATAAAACCATCACACTAAATTTAAAAACAAGCCATTAGTACTGCAGTGTGGCGTCAGGCAAAAATACAAATTTTGTGAATGTCTGGTGCTACCGGTAAGGATTTTGAGGATAACGGAGACTGGGTATAGAACTAAACGTCTGTATCTATGCACAACGTATTTACAGGTTATTATACAGACCTATTTCACTGAAGTGGCTTAAAGTAAGATGTCCACTCACATGGGTAAACCAATCTTTCACAGTTACTGCTTGATAGTGTTAATACCGTACCATTTAAGGTCTACAGAGTCAAGTAAATTATGTTTTATGGTGAACCTTTCATCCCAAGCGATACGCTGAGAAGGCTCGTCTACATCTGCTTTTGATCACTGGTTTGAAATCACTGTACGTGATGAGCAGTGGCGAAACAGTTTGTCAAGAGCTGCTTTGCTGCAGCATCGACTTTTGTGTTACCGGCTAGGCCTACATGACTTGATAATCAGCAAAAGACGATTTGACATTGGCGAGTAATTGTAATTGACGATCATTGTAAAGTAAAAAAAATATATCGAATAAAATTTCATGATTCTAAGACACCTTTCTGATACAGTTCAGTTCTTCATCCATTTCGTGACTAGAAAGTTATACATTCATGACACAAACTCAGAATATAAAAACCCGTGGTCATAGAAAAGTGAAACCTAGAATATCACATATATAGATGTAAGTCTGGCATGTAAATCTACAACTTTAGACAATACAATATAAAACAGGCTAGAGATCGCCAACAACTGAAGTAGTGAAGAAACTGGCCAGAGCCAAGTGCCTGAAAGCAAGACACAAAATCTGAAAGCGCCAGAAACATTGGTTGTAGTAACAACAATATATACAAACTGCAAATGAAATTGTCCTCTTGAATACACTACAACCAAATGCTAAACATGATGGTCGTGACTTTCGTAAAATGGCAATATTCAGAAATGTAAGAAAGCTATCCTTATTTTTTATGTCGTATTGAACAATGCAACATTATTTTAACGATGTGACAGCTTTGGCGGAGTGAGCAGGTGTTCACCACCTAGGTGATACGACAGTTGGAGACTTATCGCTGGTGAGCAGCTTGAATCGTGGCAGTTTATAGGACTTATGTCCTGTAACACACCAAAGCGAACGTCACATTTAGAAGACATATTTCTGTTCATCATCATCCGTGATTTTAATCGTAGTATATATGGGGTTTTTTAATATATGGCTAATTTGTGCAAAAATGACCAACATCTGAGGGAATGACTGAGTGAGTTACATGCATAGTCACACTGGTAATATTTCAACCATATCCTGATTTTAATAGTCATAAATTCATAAACGCAATTAAATTATAAAACCTGTCAACGAAGGACAGTAAAACCAACTACAACATCTCAGTATCAAGAATTAAAACTACCATCTCTCTCTAACATTGGATTACTTTAGGACAATACAGTATAAAAATGGGCTAAAGATCGCCAACAACTGAAGGTAGATCACCATACTATGGGCCATGGGGACTTACAGTGCCTTTGCTACCTACATGGATCCTTTCAGATGTTAGCGATTGTAGACAAATCTAGCCACAAGTTAAAATAACATATATCCTACGAATAAAGAATGTGGTAGATTAAAATTTACTTTCGGGACACACGTACCTTCTCAGGATGACGATAATATTGCAGGACCTAACCTACTTTGAAGATACATCCACTAACAATCTCAGTTACTAATTTAAACTACCAATTAGGCCTATTATAAAGCAATACTTATCTATTTACAAAGTACATTACTCAAAATATATTTTGAAAACAATTTTTTTTATGCAAAAAAGTGAGTAAATGATAAGTACATGGTTAATACGATCCTTCATTGTTTATACACTGATATATTGATCCCCTGTAATGGGAAAATCAATACAGTCAAGCAAGACATACTTGATCGTGAATTTCTCATCACAAGGGATACAAAATGGAGGATCTTCATCTTTTAATAAATACTCATGAGTATGTCTTGTATG